GATCAGAAAAGGCAAATCAATTAAAGCAGAAGGAATCAGATGTTGTGCCGGAGTAAACATGTCAAATGATTGGAGGATCGGTCGACGTGTCGGTAGAAGGCTTCGTTCCGTGAATTCGGGCATCGGGCCAAGAAGATCAGACATTATGCCAAGAAGATCATATTTTGCAAGAAGATAACATGCTGATTGGACAATACGCTAAAGGAGAGGACGATGCACCGAAAGATCGAACGAAGTGCTAGAAGAACCAATGACATGCCGGACAACATAGGATTCACTTGTAATCAATTATGTCTAGATCGAGTTAGTTTAGAGTCTAATTGAGTTGATTTAGAATGTAATTAGTCTAACTCAATTAGGGGTCAACTAGGCCCAAGGTTTGGCTATGTTAGGCCAAGTGAAAGGCCCAAACAGTAACTCAACAAGTGGAACCGTCGTGGCACCATCTCCGAGACTATGTCAGGTAGTGGTACTATCAGTATGGGCGGTGGTATCACCCAGACAGTCTCCGAGATACTATCAAGCGGTGGTATTACCAGATTGGGTGGTGGTACCGTCAGACTGGGCAATGGTACCACCTAGTGTCAGTGTTGTAGGAGGTGGTACCATCCACCACAAGCGGTGGTACCGCCAGGACCCGGAAACCCAGGATGAGACATTTTTAGGCTCCAAGTTTGAATCCACTTGATACCTATAAATACCTCTCTCATCCTTAGTTAACATATACAAGAATTGAGAGTAAAAAAGAAGAAAAATGATGTTGTAATCTTGTGAGAACTCCTCTAAATGCTCTAAGTGTTAGTGCAGTTTAAGAGAGGAGTAAGTGGGGGTGTAAGGGTTGTCTCCTAAACCTATGAAAAGGAGAAGAAGGGTGTAAAAGGGTAGTTGATCTTCACCCATTGAAAGAAGATCGTTAGTGGATGCCGGTGGCCTTGATGGAAGAGGAATCGGGAGTAGATGTAGGTTATGACGACCGAATCACCATAAAATGGTTTGCATTTCTATTTTTCTGTTTATCTTTATTGCAAACTGCTTTACTTCCTCATTACATTTGCTGCACACCCTTTCATATAAATGTGTTTCAAGTTAACATCTTTTCCAAAATCGATTTTAATCAAACGAAAGATTTTCAAAACCGACATTTTTATCCACTACACTAATTCACCCCCACCCCTCCTCTTAGTGCCGACTCGATCCTAACCGGTGCAATATATGATCTTCTTAGCCTGATGCCTGAATTCATGGACCGAACCCTTCTGTCAACATGTCGACCGATCCTTCAACCCGATGTTCAATCTTCTCACATGTTTGCTCTAGCCCAACGTATGATTCCTCCTGCTTTAATCGATTTGCCTTTTCTGATCGAAGCTAGTCCTGCATCACTTAAACGCACATTAGATGACAAACACATCAATTGATTTCATCATCAAAATCCAAGATTCAACAATCTCTCCCTTTTTTCTGATGACAACCAATTGATGACGGAGTTAACCTTAACTCTCCCTATCAATATGCCATATTGATAGAATCTTGAATTCAAGTTGAATTTAAGTCAGCGCAATATTTCATCATGAATATATGCAACACATTATATGCATATCATTACATTGCATGTATCATCATGGTATCAAAATATCAAAGTATATTACATCCTACCATGTATGATTCTCATATCATGATATCTTCTCTCCTTTTGTCATCAACAAAAAGGAGAAGTGCATCTAGCCAATTTTTTGAGATATAATTTCAAATCATTGCAACATAATCTCAAGCTTTATCTTCATGCAAGCTAGTAATTTTCTTTCTTCTCTTTTGAGAAGTGTAATTTTTTGCTTACTTTGCAAAGCGCAAGTTAGCAAAATTTTACTTCATGCAAGCTAGCAAATTTTTGAGATGTTCATGCATCATGAGTATTGCCTATCTTGAGATATGCAAGATAGCACTTTTGCTTCCTAGCAAGTTTTTCTCCCCCTTTGTTATTGTCAAAAATAAGGGAATAATACAATGTTGTAATTCTTTTCCCTTTACATCAATTTCCAAATCATGACAAAGGTAAACAACAAAGATGAAAAATTAAGTCATGAATGTCAAAAGACCATATATCATTTTTGACAAGTTTCTTATTTTGTACATAGAAAGCATGATCGGAAACAATCTTGATTCAAAAAGAAGACTCAAGTTACAATTCCAAGAATTCATAAGAAAAATCATAATTCATTTGACAAAAAGATTGTCGATTCATGCATTTGAATAAATATTTTTAAACCAACATCACTTCAACTTATCATGCATAATTTCAAAATGTAAAAATATGATACAAACATTTATTTTCAACACATTAATCATTATTTTCAACTCATTCAATTTGTCAAATCAACAAAGTCCCTTTCAAGAGATTCAAAATGAAATGAAGAGATTTATCGTTCTCTTGAAATGCTAGTGATTTCCTTTCTACTCTTAAGAAAATACCAAGTAGAATCATAGGAGAATAATTAATGAAAAATCTTGATTTATAATAAATCTTAATTTATAAATATCAAGGAATCAAGATCATGATTTGGATAAAAAATTATTTAAATTTAAATCATCAAAATCACTTTTAAGAGATTCAAAATAACATAAATATATTTATTAATCTCTTATTCAAAATTCGATAAGATAGAGAAAAAAAATTTCAAGAAAAATGCTTTCCTCTTTATAGTCGTTTCAATTCATATGATTTATTTCATACAAGCATGCATTTGTCATTTATACCAAACAAAAACCAGCTTCATTGTTTAAAACTGAAAAAGTAACTTTCATTATGACAAAGATCAATAAGCCATAAATCACATAAATCATCATGCACAATTTTAAAATATAAACTCATTAAGCATGACTTCAAATCATCATTATATTATTTCATCAAACATGATTTTATTAAACATAAAGTGTTTTTAATTAAAATTGAAAAGCAATACGGAAATCATTAAGACACACATTATTACTTCTTAAAAACATACATAGGATTAATCTTATTAGGTGTACAAGTATTAGATTTAAATCTAAAATTTTGTTCATTTTTCATAAAGCATACAATTATCATAATCATTTAAAAAAAAGAAGAAGCATGATATATTTTTTTATAATTTTTTACTTTTTACTAACTAATTTAAAAATAACTCATGAAAAAGCATCAAGTAATTTCAAAATAAAGTAAAGGAGTTTTGTTTGAGTTGTTTACCTCATTGTCGAGAGTTACCAAAGCGAAGTTCGCCACTTCGTATTCATCAATTTATTCCTCATCTTCGGATGCACTCATTTCGTCCCAAGTCACCTTGAATGTTTTCTTGTTCTTTGACAACCTTTTCTTTTTAAATTTATTTTTATTTTTAGTTTCATATTTTATAAATTTTATAAATTTACTTGTGAGGAGTTTTATGTCATCATCACTTAAGTTTTCGCTCAAGTGGTCTTCTTGAGTTCAAAGTGTCAAATCCTTCCTGCTCTTTAGAAGGTTGTTCCTATGTTCATCGAGTTTATCATGTGTCTTGCATGTCATTTCATAGGTCATTAATGACCCGATAAGTTCTTCAAGAGTAAGGTTATTTAGGTCATTTGCTTCTTGTATTACCGTTACTTTTGGATCTCAAATTTTAGAAAGAGATCGTAAAACTTTATTAATAAGTTTAAAATTCAAAAAATATTTGTCAAGAGCTTTTAAACTATTAGTGACAT